AACATGTGCCTGCAAGGATGCCCAAAAAAAAAAAAAGAACCAGTAAAGACAATTTCTACCAGGAATTTCCAGGCAGACTAACAGGCACTCTTGCACAATCAGTGTCCCGCCTCAGGGATTTCCAAAACCCCGATCCTATCGTTAACCACTGCCGACATTTGTTTTCCCCTGAAATAAATGTGAAAGGCTTCACTGAAATAAGACAAGTGAAGGTCCAACTGATGCAAAGAACAATTTTATTCATGTTGAAAGCAGAACACAAAAGCAAAACCAGTGTCAGGAAACAGGGACCTCTATTCAAAATAAGATATTGCTTCAGACAAGACACACACAGACCCCGGCACGTGAGGAGGGAGCCAGAGGGCTCTCGTGCCAGGGGAAGACTATCCAGGAACGACCTGGCTGAAGAACAGCGACTCAGACGAACTGGGCACTTCACTTGCTGCCGCAAGGCACTGCGCGTACTGCACATCCTACATCTGAGCAATCGCCCTGGGCTCTGCCCCGTGGATCACGCCCAGGGATTGCTCTGCACTGAAAACAACACTGAGACGTGCCGTGTGTCTTTGTCCACTGGTCTGCCTGAACCAAACCCCCGCAACAAGGCAGAGCTTCCGCAGCCCACGTTAGCAGAAATCTACACTCCAGCAATGAGTGGGGACCCCCAGACCCACTTACCCTACACTCTTTTTTAATGGCTGCGCTACAGAAGAGAGAGAAGGGGGTCTTTCACGTGGCGCCTAGGCCAAGATATCGGAGGTGGCATCCCCACAGGGGAAGTGGATGGCATGGGCAAGGCAAGGCCCGTTGGGTTCCTTTCCAAAGTCCACCAGGAAGTTCTTGTTCACGGTCAGGCCTCCCTTCTCAGTGTCCACATCAATCTGCAGCATGACAGAGCCTTCCCTGCCAGGGGACAAGAGCGCAGCCGTTACGGATGGGCAAACCACGGCCCTGTTCAGGAGATCCTGCTCCTTCACCGAGCAAGAGAGGCCCCTTGCCTCCCACGTGTTCCTCACCTGACCATGTTCGGGTAGAACTGCTTGTCCCACGTGCTGTAGAAGGAGTTGGTGACGTACAGCCTCTTGCCATCCAGGCTGAGCTGCAGTTTGCACGGGCCGCCGTACACGCGCTTGCACTGGAGGCACAACAGACAGCAGGGAGGTCACTGGCCTCTCTCTCCCAGCAGCCAGGCACACGCAGGGGCGGCACAGCACAGCACAGCAGAGCGGCTGCCTCCCCTCCCGACACAGGCACGCCACCAGGCGCCGCAGACACACCGGCACCCGAGCGCAGACCTCACCCAAGAGCCCC